AATAAATATATATTTTTCGAATAAAAAAAGGAGAAAAATTCGAAAAACTTAAAAGAAAACATTTCTTTGGAAAAATATCGAAAAATTAATTAAAAAAATCAAAAGTAAAATAAAAAATATATCGAAAATATAAAAAAATTATTTTTTATGAAAAAAAAATTATTTTTTCGAAAAAACAATATATTCTTTTTTTCGAACAAGGTGAATGATACCTTTATATATAAAAGTAAGAAAACGAAGTAATCTAAGAAAACCTAATGTCATATTTATATTTGTTTTTAAATTAAATTATTATTATATGTTCCAGTCTTTTATCTGTGATGATTTTCATAGCAAATCGACTAACAAAATCCTAATCTACTGTGATAGTGTCTTTATGTTATTTTTCAAGTTTTGCAATTTCTCTGTAAATAATTTATTTTCTAGTTAATATTCGTTAGAAATGTTAATTATTTGTAGATAATAACTAATAAATGGAATAATGTATCAGCACTTGTAGAAGTCAGGTGATTTAATTAAGGTGTTCTTTGATATAATCCCTCAATACTTTTTTTAATAGAGAAAGACCTAAACTATTTTGCACCATTTGAGAAAAACTCACTCCAAATTTCAGCCACCCGTTTTTCCATTTATGTCCTTCCACCTTACACTATTTGAGAAAAACTCACTCCAAATTTCTGTCACCCATTTTTTCATTTATGTCATTCCACCTTACACATCCCCATGACCCATCAGCCCACTATCCCCATAACTCATAGCCGTGTCTTTCTCCCTCTCTCTATCTCTCTCTTTTTTGTTTTACATATATATTATTATTATTTTATTATTATTATTAATTTATTATTATTATTATTATTTTATTTTATTTCGTTTTTTAACTTTTTTTCTCCATCACGTATGTTAATCAACTATGAAGCATATTAAATCGACTATGATGAACTATAGTCGATTAAGGAACCGACTACTAAAAATAACAACTCACAACTACCAAAATGCAAAGTCAACTATATTTTACAAAAACAAACAATATACAAACATTATAATTGATTTACACAATTGGAATCAATAAACAAAAAAAAAAACCAAAAAAATTAAAAAAAAAAATTAGAGTCAATGAAGCATATTAATCGACTATGATGTGAAGCATAGTCGATTAAGAATCTGCTACTAAAAATAACAAATCATAACTACGAAAAAATGCAAAATCAATTATATATTACAAAAACAAAAAATATACAAACATTATATACAATTGGAATCAATAAACAAAAAGTTAAAAAAAAAAAAATGGAGTCGATCAATCTTAATCGACTGCCAAAGCATAGTTGATTAGCTTAATCGACTATGAACATGTACATAGTCGATTAAGGTTTCAGCCTGCGCGAAATTCTCTACACGCGACGTCCTCCGTCCGATCCACCAAAAAACCCTAAATATGCCTCCCCATCGTCACCATATCGTCACCACACCGCCGCCACAACACACCATCACCACCTTACTTTGATATTATGACGGTTTTTTATTACAAATAAATAAATAAAATCACAACTCGCACCACCAACCAAAGCATCCAAAACCACCACCCATCAAAATCCGATTCCGGCGACAAATCGACAATTTTACCTCTTTACGCCGCCGATGTAGCAATCTAGCATTCAAATTCAGAATCATTATCAAAATCATTTATACTGTTTGATGGGTGCTTCCTCTTCTTTCTTTCTCCATCTTCCAGCGACGGCGGCGGCAGCGGCGAAGAAGATTGCCGGAAAAAACAGAGAAAAAAAAGAAAGAAAAGAAAACAGAGGAGAGAAAACAGAGAAGAGATAAAAGATAGAAACGTAAAAGAGGCGGAATGAAAAATTAAAAATAAGATTAGGGTTTTGAAAGAGTATAATAGACAATTAAGGGTAGTTTTGGAATTATGAAAATATCACATGGGTGAAATATTAGCTAAGGAGGTTTTCTCTAATTATTTTTGGGAGGGGGTGTTTCCTTAACTATATTTCCTAGATGGGGTTTTTCTCTAATTTTCCCTTTAATTAATTTATATTTGTTTGTTTAGTATATGCTTTTTAATTCGAATTGTATGATCATATTTGTAACAATATTGATGCAATTTTAATAGTTTAAATTTTACAACTAATTATTTTAATATTATATAATTAGTTTATTTAACCCAATTTAATTACCATATATTTAAATTTTCTTCATTTCTACAATTCTATAAACAAAATAAAAACAAAATGCACATTAAAAAAAAAGTAGAAGATATTGGCAACAAAAACAAGAAAGTAGAAATAAAGAAGGTAATAAGTAATCCGGAACGCTGATTGGCCACAACTGAAGGTTGTTTTACCGACCATTTCTTCCTCTGCAATAACCCATCCATCATCATTAATGCCCAGATTGCCCCTCAGATTTCCCGCAAAAGTTCTTGGAGAGAG